AATATATTATATACGTTCAAAACAAACAAAATTTGAATTAGTATTTGTTTAAAATTTTGTCCCTTACTTTTTGAAAATAAATAAATAATTGTTATAATTCTTTTATATATGATTATATATATGGATGATATATTTCAAAATTTATATCTGTATCTAACAAATATATATCCCTTGTTTTGGATATGTATATATGTATATATATATATATATATATGTATATATATATATATATATATATATATGTATATATATATATGTGTGTATATATAGGTATATATATATGTATATATGTATATATATGTATATATATATATATATATATATATATATATATATATATATATATATATATATATATATAATTTAAATTACGTTACGAAATAATACGCAGATTTAGACCAGAATTTGTTGACGGTTATGATATATTTTACGTTGAGGTAAGCCCAACTAGTAGCACTGGACGATCGTCACTGATATTAGGGTTAATGAAATACCATATGTGGGCTTTTAAATTCGGTAAAACAACATAGACTTTGTTAAAAATCTGAAATACTTTTGAAAACCTCCGGTATATATATATATATATATATATATATATATATATATATATATATATATATATATATGTGTGTGTGTGTGTGTGTGTGCGTGCGTGCTTACCTTCTGATATCGTACATGATAGATTATGACTTGGGGAGCAAATAATTGAAAGCATTCCATATCTTTCAATTGAATACTAAAATCCACATTAAACTGTACTATTTCTATGAGGCGCAATTCAGCGCAAGCTGGTGTCTGCTGGCACTGTTAGCAGGTCGGACCGCATGCCCCATCTTATCGAACGTGAATTAGCCAAATACAATTTGTGTCTCTTTTGTTGGATCAGTGCGATAAAATGCGGTTGGTCCATACACGAACCAGATATTACAGTTACAATCTCTTGGCCTCAGATCTACGGTCAGCAGATGGCAAACTTATATCCGGCATCGCAGTACCTGCTGAAGATTAGGGATTTTGTCAGCTATGCACTGATCTGAAACACGCTGTGAAATTAACGCCGTAGCGGTGACACGGGGACAGGTCTTTGCACTCTATCTCGGCTCCGTGTCGTTTGACTTTAGTCGCAACATTCACCTTTCTTATACAGGCTTCGTCATTTGGCATTTCTATTCATCAAATCGACATGTTGGAATTTAAAGGTTCTCGGTGTATTGTTTGAGATTGGGCGATACCACGGTTTCTCTATTGTCGAAGGCTTATAGTATGGAGAGAATTTACGCCATTTTCATATTTAGTAAACGCTTGGAATAATTCATGAGCGCAGACAAACCCATTCGACTTTTAATACATCTCTATGGGAAAGACATCAGACAATAGACTCCCATTATAAAGGTAACGTTCTTATTTTCATACTAATGTTCGCATCAGTTCCGTGCAACAGACAATCCATTTCTTTCTATATTGCATCTCCGGGGTGGGGAGGGGTTTAATGAATAGCGGCTCTGAGTGAGACATCGTAGCGCTCAAATTGCAGTCGGATTCTTTACATTCACTTATGGTAAAATACGCTTGGGAAAGATATAAATCCATCTCCTCCCCTCACATATGGGTTAAATAGTAGGATTGTATCTGTAAAAATCTTTGTGATAAAGCGTTAATGCAATGCTTACTCGCAAAAAAAGGAATTATTTTTACAGTCCCAGATGTGCTTCAAATAAACTAAAAAGGGTTGATAAACCGTAAAAATAAACGATGTCAATCAGTCTTTGTAATTTTCAATGTACATTCTATAGTAGGACTATTCGTAACAGACATTTAATCAACTTATTCAGACAATAACACATACGTTAACCTGACTTGCTAATTTTTACTGCATTTTACTTTCGTAAAATAGTAATATATTTACATTATAAATTTAATAGCCCCATTTCACAAGTTAATGATGCATTGACTCCCTACATCTGACTATCTTTTTCCTTTGAAATATTCAATACATTCTCATAGCAAAATCATTAGAAATGCATATAGGGTATATGTAAAAAGGACATATTGAGTTAATGCTTGCATTCATTCCAGACCACTGACAAACTTTTCTCCCTAATTTTCATTGCATTTAGAGTGAAATGATTAACAATGCATATATATATATATATATATATATATATATATATATATATATATATATATATATATTATGAGGAAAAAATATATTTCTGGTGAAGTGAATTGCATCATGGTGTTTTTTTTTCTCACAGGCGGTGACGGTGACTATATTGTTCAGTCGACAAAATTAAAAACTAACATCACGCCTGCGCGAATTAAAAAATATAAAATGGCGACAATTTACTCATCATACTCCATATATATATAACTACACTACTACTGCAAATACATTGATCTGAAGATTGGAGATTTTCAGGAGCATGGAACCACCTTTTATTCCCAGATCCACTCTAACCCGGTGTGGTACCATCTTTTAGAGTCCCACCTATGAGCAAATAGTGAATCCCCCAACAAAAAACAAACTTTACCAAAGTATAAAACTACCAGCAATACATTTTTCTATAAAAAATACTAACAATATCTATTTATAGTAGAATTACTAACATTACATTTTATCTGTAGCGTAAGATATACCACTGTGATCAAAATATTTTTATTTCGGCACTTAATAACCCACGGAGGTGTTGGTATGCCTCCAAATTAAATCAATTTATTTTGGTAATCATACTTGACCCCTGATATACTTTGCTTCCTAATTTTCAAGGCATTTTTATAATAAAATCATTAGCAATGCATTTTAAGGAATGTTCTTTTCGGGAATGTTCTCTTTTGGGAATGATATCAGTTGCCTTATCACACTCTCCCCAATCTCGACCAAGGTGAGTTACAACATCAATCTTAGATTTGCTAAATTCGTAAACGGCCATATCTGGAGTGTAGTGAAAGCTTTCGACTGATGCGATGTTCTACCCCCACCCCAATAAAAAAAATGTTCTCCTCCACACACACTCACAAATAAAAAGTCCTTCACGAGACGCAAAGAAACTATTCCTTCTGTCACTGTGAGTACAATGGTCACTTAGTTTTCTGGGCTAAATCATTGGCATGTTACTGTCGACTGACTAAACTCAAAGCAAAATAGTTCTTCTTCTTCTTCTTCTTCTTCTTCTTCTTCTTCTTCTTCTTCTTCTTTTCTTTCGCCTTTAACCCCGGCAGGAGACTTCTTGAACTGTTACCATTCTCCACCATCTGTTCCTCCAGAACCTTTTTAATGTGTTCATTGGCATGTCTTGGACGTTTTAACCTGGTGGAGCCCCCTTCTCTCTAAGATAGGTTATGTTATATCAAAATTGTTTCTTGGAGCATTTCTAGTAAATGAATAGCTTTAGAAAAAATACGTATATATATATATATATATATATATATATATATATATATATATATATATATATATATAAGCGATCAGGGCTCTTCTCAACTTTCTAAATTGTTTGGCTATTACCAGCAGATTTTCTTTCTTTGCAAAAGGCCCCGGCCACCGTTGTGCCATTCATTCTTACAAACTCGTCAGTTATGTAGCTCACTGACTTCTCAAACTCTTTTGCCCTCAATATAGTGAGGGTTAAGTTTTCCAAGTCATCCTTCCTCAACCCAAGCATTATTTAATATCGATTTTTTATGGAGCCCTCGATAAGGATCAATGTGAATACTAAGAGTAATCGTATTATTTGATATTTTCTTATAAATTGAAATTTAGAAATCTTCCTATTTTGGCGAAATACTAGGGGCTCTATTCAACTTTGAATTGGTTATTGTTTTCACTTCACACAGATGTTTCGGATAAACAATATGACCTTCGTTTCTCTAGGTCAACCATCAATGGCTCAACGGTCATAAATGAATTTGTCTGTCACGTTTTAGTTAAGAATGGCAAGGCTCGGGCTCGGGCTTTAGATATCTCGAAGGCGATTGACAGGATTTGTCATGCTGGCCTTCTTTACTAACCCAAGGGTTATAGTGTCTAATCGTGTACTGAATCGTTCACACTTCTAGATCCTTTGATAGTAATTAGGGGTTCTCCAATGGCTCTTTTCTTGGTCTTACGTTGTTTCTTATCTTCAGTAACGAAATTTTCTATGTTATCAGTTCCCAACTCTGTATTTATGCTGATGACAACTTTACTCTTGTATTAATAGCAAGTCCGATAAATCTGACAGTAAAACTGGCAGCAGCTCTCGAAAATGACCTCTAATCATTTGTTAACTGGGGTAAGAAATGAAATTTCAATTATGACGCCCCCAAAACAAAACCAGGATAAAGAAGCATTTTTACCTTTCACCAGCATGGCTGAAACTAAACCACAGTAGAGCAACTCATTGCACCTTATTCGTCTCACCTTTTCCACTGACATGAAATAGAGTGATTATATTAAATCAAATGCTAGGCCTGCTGTTAGGAACTTGGATTACTGTATCGTACCAGACAATTGTTCTTGCACATTTATAAATCTACCATTCGCCCGCACATTGTATGTTGCTTCTATAACTGCTCTTGTCTTGCAATATATCTAGGGACAAGGTCTGAAATGTTTTCGGTCTTGGCCTGGCATCTCGATTTCGGTCACTTCCATCTGATATAATGCGTTTGTTTGTTACACTTGTACTAACCTTCTAGGAACCCTGTCATCTACTTCGAGTGGCTCTTGTGCCATTTATAATAAAAAAATGAAAAAATGCCTTTCACATGAACATTTGTGTGAAAGCAAACGCAACAGAAAAGCCCCGAAATTTGAACTCCTCGATTTCAATTTTAGCGCCGACATTCGTTAAACTACCTACACAGCACTTCCGACAATTCCTGCTTACAGAATAGATTAATGCTATAGAATAATGTAAATACCTCAGACAATGTCGCAAGACCGAAGAAAATATAGTCATGTCAAAAACAACAGTGAATAATGCATGCAACAATGGAAATGACTCCATGTAGGAACAGAC